AATTTACTTTTTTTTTATTAAAAGATTATTGAACGAATTATAGATTTCGTTTTACAGAGAAATAAAATTGAATGGCAAAAGTTTCGAACCAGTTTATTTAACACATTTTAAATTTGGAGTTTCATAAAAGCAAGCAAATAATCGATTTTTAAGAAATTTACTCTTAAATTTTCTATGTTTTCATTATTTGCACAGCCTTCAAAATAAAAATTTGTTTGCTCGATATAGCGATCGAGATTTAAGTAATTATAATTTGCATCAAAAGATTCAACCATTATACATTATAATTTCGAGGATTTTATACTAGGTAATATTTTCATCAATCAATTTTAATAATATTTTAATAATATCCCATCCAAGATTATTAGTTTGAATATTTCATACAATAATCTTAAAATATAGACATATTAAAATATAGATTATTAATTGTTTTTTATATATTTTATATTCATATTTTAAATATATTTTTATACATTTTCTTTTATAGAATTACTGGATATATGACAATGACAAAGAAGTAAATATAAAAAAGATGAATACAAAAAAGTTATAAATATAACTAGATATAAACTGTTGAAAAAAAGATTTATTTCAGAAAATATAGTAGACTAAAAAGGTAAGTATAAGGTAAGTATAAGGTAAGTACATCAAATTTTATAATTAAATATAAGTAAACTGTTGAAAAAAAGGATTTGTTCCTGGAAATATAGTAGATTAAAAAACGTAAGTATAAGGTAAGTATAAGGTAAGTATATTAAATTTTTAATAATTTTTATCATCTCGCAAATTATATTCTTCTGATAAAAAATTTCAAAATTTTCGAAAATTTAAAGATCTGATATTAAAATTTCGATTTGTCTATAAACATTGGTTTGTTTATTTACATTTCTAATGTTTATATACAAAAATTTTTCGAAATTTTCGAAATTTTAAAGGCCTGGCATTAGAATTTCGATTTGATTACAAACGTTGGTCTGTTTATTTACATTTTCAATGTTTATTTACATTCTCGGTGTGTTTATTTACATTTCCAATGTTTATTTACAAAATTTTTCGAAAATTTAAAGGCCTGGCGCTAAAATTTCGATTTATTTATAAACATTGGTTTGTTTATTTACATCTTCAATGTTTATTTACATTCTCGGTTTGTTTATTTACATTTTACAATGTTTATTTACATTCTCGGTTTGTTTATTTACATTTCCAATGTTTATTTACAAAATTTTTCGAAAATTTAAAGGCCTGGCGCTAAAATTTCGATTTATTTATAAATATTGGTTTGTTTATTTACATTTTCAATGTTTATTTACATTCTCGGTTTGTTTATTTACATTTTACAATGTTTATTTACATTCTCGGTTTGTTTATTTACATTTTACAATGTTTATTTACATTCTCGGTTTGTTTATTTACATTTCCAATGTTTATTTACAAAATTTTTCGAAAATTTAAAGGCCTGGCGCTAAAATTTCGATTTGTTTACAAACATTGGTTTGTTTATTTACATTTTCAATGTTTATTTACATTCTCGGTTTGTTTATTTACATTTCCAATGTTTATTTACAAAAATTTTCGAAAATTTAGAGCTCTGGCGTTAAAATTTCGGTTTGTTTATAAACATTGGTTTGTTTATTTACATTTTCAATGTTTATTTACATTCTCGGTTTGTTTATTTACATTTCCAATGTTTATTTACAAAATTTTTCGAAATTTTCGAAAATTTTCATAAATTATTTATAAAATACTTACCTTTACTTACCTTCTATTTACTTACCTTTTTACAGCTACTTTTTTTTATTATATATTTTTCAACAGTTTCCTTAATTCTATATACTTACCTTTACTTACCTTTACTTACCTTTTTACAGCTACTTTTTTTTATTATGTATTTTTCAACAATTTTCTTAATACTATATACTTACCTTTACTTATCTTTACTTACCTTTTTACTTATCTTTTTACAGTGGTCTTTTCCGGCATTAACTATTTTTCAACAATTCTCTTAAATTTACATACTGACTTTATATTTATTATTTTGAATATCTCGTTTGTTTTTCATAATATTAAAAAACATTTCAGATAAAAATTAAATGGTTTCGAAAGGGAAACATTCTTATAATCTTAATTTTTCCATATGTTGATCCATAGAAGATTTATGAACGTTAATGTTGATTTTTTAAATAGAATTTTAGATTCTTTAATGCTTCAATAAATGCATCTTATCATTCTCTATAAAAAAAAGTATTAAATCCCATATAGCAAATAACTCAGTAGTTTAAAAAATAATTTAATTTGATTAAATATTTTTTAAACTTTTAATGGTTTTATGCTATGAATGCCTTAATACTTTTTTATAAAGAATATCGTGTTGCATTTATTAGTTCATTGAAAGATATATAATTCTAATTAAAGAAACAATGTTAATTTCCATAAGGCTTCAATGCGTCCATTTGTGAAAAAATTAAAGAAGAGAACATACCTCTGTTCAAACCATATAATTTTTATCTCATTTTTTAATATCTCATTATGAAACATTAATGAGATATTAAAATAATAACCCATCCTACATTTCCTTCAATCCCTTAGAATTAAGTAAACTGTTAAAAAATGACTAATTCCTGAGAATATGATATAAAAGGTAAGTACAAGAAGGTAAGTATAAAAGGTAAGTATAAAACTTGTGCCACCTCCTATTAAATTATATTCTCCTAATACAATCTCAAAAATTCGACTAAAAATTTTTACTATTCGAAAATTGGACTATTAGGAGAACATAATACGATAGGAGGTCGTTCGAGAAATATTTCCAAGAATTTTGGCAATTCTTGGAAGTGACGTCAAATTCTTGGAAATTTTTAAATGTTCAAACAAACGAAACTTTTGGCCGAAAATTCGACTTTGTATTAGGAGAACATAATATGATAGGAGGTCGTTCGAGAAATATTTCCAAGAATTTTGGCAATTCTTGGAAGTGACGTCAAATTCTTGGAAATTTTTAAATGTTCGAACAAACGAAACTTTTGGCCGAAAATTCGACTTTGTATTAGGAGAACATAATACAATAGGAGGTCGTTCGAGAAATATTTCCAAGAATTTTGGCAATTCTTGGAAGTGACGTCAAATTCTTGGAAATTTTTAAATGTTCGAACAAACGAAACTTTTGGCCGAAAATTCGACTTTGTATTAGGAGAACATAATACGACAGGAGGTCGTTCGAGAAATATTTCCAAGAAATGACGTCAAATTCTCGGAATTTCTAAAATTCTTGGAAATGAGGTCGACTTCTTGGAATTTCTACATTTCTTGGAACTGACGTCAAATTCTTGGAAATTTCCAAATGTTCGAACTCTACGAAACTTTTGGCTAAAAATTCGACTTTGTATTAGGAGAACATGATACGATAGGAGGTCGATCGAAAAATTTTTCCAAGAAATGACGTCAAATTCTCAGAATCTCTAAAATTCTTGGAAATGAGTTCGAATTCTTAGAATTTCTAGCTTTCTTCGAAATGACGTCAAATTCTTGGAAATTTCCGACAACAACTCCGAACAATAGAACGATACCTCTGGCCAAAAATTCGATTTTCTACTAGGAGAACATAATTTAAAAGGAGTTTTTTCACATTTATAGTATATTTACCGTTCTCCTGCCTACTTTTTTACCATTCCTTTTATCGTAGTCACTTTTTTAGAGCTTTAAAACATTTTTTTTCCCAATTTATATATAAATTTTAATTTTTACTGCTTGTACACTTATCTCCATCAATTTTTGGTGCGTTTTTTATTATTTTTTTAAATTTTTTAAGAATTTGACGATACCTTGAACAGTGTCCTACTCAATTTCTTACCATTTTTCTTGGCTTTCAGAGATTTGTATCCAGGATATCTCATTTGTTTTCAATAATATTAAAAAATGTTTCGAATAAAAGTTATACGGTTTCAAAGGAGTTATATTTTTATTATATTAGTTTTTTTGTAACTAAATTCATAAAATATTTATAATGTTTAACATTAATTTTTTTAAATAGAATGATATACTTTTTGCATATACTTTTGATATACTTTTTATTGCAATAATCGATGCATTTTGACATTCTCTATAAAAATGTATTGAATCATATAAGTCCAAAAATTATTAGTTTAGGAGGTAATTAAATATAATTGAATATCTCTTAAACTAATAATTTTTGACTATAAATGGTTTAATAATTTTTTATAGAGAATAATATACTACATCTTGTTATGCATTAAAATATTTATGATTCTATTTAAAAAAAAAAAGCTAATCTTAATATTATCCCTATGTATCCTTTAAGAAGAAAAATAATTATATCACTTTACGTCCCTTTTAAAACTATTCAACTTTTATCTCAAACATTTTTTAATATTTTCAAAGACAAGCGAGATATTTCAAATAATAATATTAGGACACCCGGTATATTACATTTTTTAATATATAAGGATAATATAATATCTCGTTTGTTATTTAAAATATTAAAAAATGTTTTAAATAAAAGTTGAATGGTTTTAAATGGGACACATTCTGCAACTATTAATTTTTTTTCATGTAAATGCTTAAAGAACATATGAAGATCAACTTTCTTCTTTTAAATAGAACTATATATTTTTTAATACATAAATAAATGTATTTAAATATTCCCTATAAAAAAGTATTAGACTATAAGAGTCGAAAAATTAATAATTTAGAAGATAATTGAATATTTCTTAAACTATTATTTTAATAATCTGTTTTATAGGAAATAAATTATTTTAATAATCTACCAATGTATCAAAAAATATATAGTTTTATCGAAAAAAAATAATTTGATCTTAATATGATTTCTAAAATTATCTCTATAATTTCTAAAACATATACATTTCCTTTGAAACCGTTTAACTTTCACCTAAAATATTTTAAATACAAGAAAAATTAATAATACAAATTAAAATAAAGTAACACAAATGCAAAAATTCTATTTTCATAACTTTATTTCATTTTATTCAATTATTTACAATTATTTACAATATTTATTCATATACAATATTTATAATTATACAGAGTGGAGGTGAGGCACGTCTGTTCGGTTCCGCGTTCCAGAAGCATCTCTTCTTAAATCGATCTTCGATATCGTTGACGGTCGACGTCACTTCCTGTGCCGTAACTTCACGTTGATCATCATGACGCTCCACGCTGATCGTCAATTCTCCTAACAACAGCCAGATAGAATACCCTGTAAATAAAATAAATATGTAACATATATATAATAAACGATATAAAAAGTGTAAAAAAAATACTTACTTTTTTTTCCAAAATCCAAGGAAATGATATTATTTTCTCTTATTGATCACGTCCAAACAAATTTTCGTTCGTTCAAATTCCACTTAGAAAAGGAAGAGTATCGAAATTGGGCACAATCGATCTGAATTATATCCACGATCGAAGCGAGTCGATAATGGAGGACGCAAATCGACGAATGCAGTAGGGGCGCTGCAATCGGGCGGATGTGCACAGGAAACATTGAATCGAGTCTTTAACGAAGATAAACTTAATTAAGATAGTTGTCTCTGGCACAGGCTGCGTGGACCGAGCTTGTAATTCGTCTCATAGCAATATATACATTGATCCTTATTTGCAATTGCAAATTGTTAATATATAGAATCCATGCATTGTATATTTTATCGTCTTGAAAAAAACCCCTTTCACTTATCGACTGAAACACGCGAAATAATTATCGTTAATTATAATCATATTTTTCGTATTTTATATATATATATATAAAATAATAATAATAATACGAATACTTTATTATTTAGTTATTCGAAAATCTTAAAAGACTTCTACGCTGAAAATACCAAGATTTCTAACTAAATCGCAATCGTTTTGTTTTATATCGAATAGGTATACCGCGCCACGATAAATGGAACGATAGTAATGTCCCTGAAAAATGTTTCTTTCCATCGACCGCCACGATACAACTTTTCCACATTCATCCTTTATTCATAAGAATTTGAAACATTAAAAACCCGTGCTCGTGGTCTCGTTTTATCCCATCCCAATGTCGGCTCGAAAAATCTCGAAACTTGTAATTTTACTGTTGCGTTACCATAAGAGAACGGTCGCCATTTTGGTCCCCGTATTTTATAAATCTTTTGGAAATTTCTGCGGATAGAAATCGTTTAAAAAATTCGAGAAAAATTATTTTTGACAGCAATTTAAACTTTAATTTTTGTTATTTATTCAAGATGGCTTCGTTCATAGTCTTCAATCTTTATGTACTTTTTTGTTACTTTTTCAATATACTTACACGTGTAAAAATTTCTATATTATTTAATATTTGGTATCCTTTAGTATTTGTTATTCATATATACGGTGTAGTTCAAAGTGCATTCATTTCACATGATGGATCAAGATATGGGCAATTAACGCGAACACGTGTGCACACACACACATTCGTATTCTTGATTCGCAAACAGTGCAATTACGCTCGGTGAACGAGAAAACAGAACCGTTGTGCACTACGTTTACGTCACTCGTGTTCGTCTTGCACGTATTGTATCGCGTGCCTGCATAGTCACAAAGCGTTATATATCTTGTAAAAATATTCATTACGTTTCTCTTGTTACCTGAGCCTCTACAACGATCTTCGTATTTATTTAATTTTCCATTTATATGTTTTGCCTCAGACAATTTTTAAATTTTGGTACAATTGTTAAAAATCAATATAATGTCTTTGTTTATTCGTTTTTCGTAATAAAAATATAAAATAGTTATTTAAAATATCCCGTAACGTGATTCACGAAATCCACGTGAAATCTAATTGCATATTTTTGTAAAGAAATATACACACGAGGCAAATATTTTATATCACGTGTGTCTTTTTTATTACACGTTTATTTTTACGTCCAAGCTGCTTCAAAAGAAAGAGAAACGTGAGAGAACAGGGAGAAAAAGTTCACATCGTGCGCGGGCATTAAATCTGTTCCGGGCAGAAGCGTGAAGCTGGTGGAGTAGCTGGTAGAACGGTCAATTATGGAACTGTAATTAAATCATCAGAGATTGCTGGTTGATCCTCCTTTCGTTCTCCGTAAAACGACCAATGATTTTTTCGATAGAACGTGGACTAAACACGACTTTTTCTTTGCGTTAAAGAAGGAAAACGTGAGATATCTTTTCCCAAGCATTCTCTTTCTCTCGATTCCCTTTGCTTTGATGTGATATGTAAATTAATTAAGGAAGGAAGAAGAAGAAAAATAATTCTTGTTTAATTCTTGTTTACGATATTCCATTCAATCTCTTTCTTATTTACCTTATTCATTATACGTCAATTGTCACTTTTCCTATTGTTGTTTGTACCAATAATAATTTCTTACAATTGGCACTGATAATACTTTATTCAAAAAATTAATAGAATCGTTTTCGCTTCCTTTTCACAGTAATAATAAGAATAATAAGAATCTTCTTATTAGACGTGCTTTTAATTCACAATTTTGCACCTTTCTCATTGTTAACAGAACTTATATCACGGCTAGATACAATAATGTAAACGATAAGATCGAATATTTACCTATAAAATTTTATCACAAATATCCAAATGTCGATTAATTTTTCCATTACACGCTACTTTTCCAAGCGCGAACTAAAACAACTACACCCAAATCCAACTTTCTTTTTTCCCCTGAAACAAACAAAATTCAAACGCTTTTAACACCCGCATCCAATCCTCCATTCCAATTCTCCCGGTCCTTCTATTTCGTCCAAACGACCGAACCACCCCGTATACACCCACACACATACCCCTCTTCTCCCTCCCCCGGGTTTAAACGCAATTAACGCGACCGCTTACACGCAGCAATAATACAAGAGGGTAGAATGCAGTGGACGCAAACGAGCGTTGTTTTCAATGGCGGACACGGGGAGGACGAGCAGAGGCCTCTATTGTCCAGCCCTCGAAGGGGCTCGCAACCCTCTGAGAGCGGCCATTTTTAATTATTCCATTGGAATCGTGCCTCGAATGGAAATAGAAGAAACGCGTAACAGGTAGCTAGCATAGTAGTTGCAATAGTTGCGATAATTGCGATAGATCGAATTTTTATTAATTTTATAGAATTATTGTCTTTTTCACAGAAATGGAAATATATATTTAACTTGTTCTTTAATCATTGACAATTAAAATATGCTCCCTGAATAGCAATTGTCTCGAAACTCGATTAAAAACGTTCGTTGACAATTCTTATTTCAAATTTCAGTGTTTCGAATGAATATTGAATTTTTATTAATTTTATAGTATCACTGTCTTTTTCGTAGAAATATATATATATTTATATTTATATTTTATATTTTTATATTTTATATTTATTTATTTATTTAACTTATTCTTTAATTATTGACGATTAAAATATGCTCCCTGAATAGCAATTGTCTCGAAAACTGATTAAAAACGTTCGTTGACAATTCTTATTTCAAATTTCAGTGTTTCGAATGAATATTGAATTTTTATTAATTTTATAGTATCACTGTCTTTTTCGTAGAAATATATATATATTTATATTTATATTTTATATTTTTATATTTTATATTTATTTATTTATTTAACTTATTCTTTAATTATTGACGATTAAAATATGCTCCCTAAACACGAGCAATTGTCTTGAAAACTGATTAAAAATGTTCGTCGAAGTTTTTATTTCAAATTTCAGTATTTCGAATAAATATTGAATTTTTATTAATTTTATAGAATTGTCTTTTTCGTAAAAATGGATATATATATTTAATTTATTCTTTAATTAAATATGCTCGATTAAAAACATGTTCGTCGACAATATTCTTACTTCAAATTTCGATGTTTTATGAATATTCGTATTAATTTTCCAACCCTTCAACTCTGCGCGCATCAATGACAAAGAAACTTCACGCAACGTGAATAAAACTATAATTCTATTTCCCGAGAAGAGCCAAGCCTTTAGTTACTTTCTTTACGCTGCAAAACAGCGGAGACTTCAAACGATTCTCTCAATCCAACGATCCAGACACTACTACCGAATTAATTGCCATCGATCGATCCTCTTCGGATTCCTCTTCTGATCGATCACACCCTCCTTCCCCTTTTTCGAGCGAAACGAAAGAATCAAGAAGGGTTTGTAATACCTTTGAGGCGTATTCGAGTATTGTTTTTGTTATTATTATTACTTTCTTTTTTTTTCCTTTCAAATAAAACCCCACGTAAAAGTACTTACTTTCAAGGAAAGTTTATAAGAGGAAATGAAATACGCTTTTAAAAGCTTGCTTGTCTCTCCTCTCTCTCTCTCTCTCTCTCTCTCTCTCTCTCTCTTTGTCTCTCTCTCTGTCTCTCTTTTTCTCTTCCCTGATGGAATAGAAAAATTCCTCCCTTCGAAGGAATAGCTGGCTCGTGAGGCGAATTCGTTAAATTTCGCAGCGTATGCACGTTGGTTGCCGAGATACGAGGATAGAATTCTCAAAGAATAATATAATTCGCATCGTGGTATAATAATTGCGCGATACCTAGGAAAATCTTTCCCGATTTTCCTCGTCCTTTGTGGAATACTTTCTCGAGAATGTAAATTATTTAGCTGCTGAATGCAAAGCGTACGAATATACGAAAGAATTAAATTAATTGAGCTTTCAAAAATGAAAAAAAAAAAAACGGGTATTATATTTAAAACGTGAAGTGTTTTATCAATCCATTGTTACTTTTTCGTGAGAGATAACGTCGTCTGTCGTAGAGGAGAAAAAGTTGATACATTATTTTAAACGTATTTTGAAGATGCAATTCACGTGGAAGATTGTAAATTGTATGCAGTGTATTTTTCTTTACTACGATGGAGAATTTTAAAAATATATTTTCCCCTTTTAATATTTACTTGCATTATTTTAATTTGTTTTTTTTTTTTTTAATTTTATTTCTCCTTAACGATCGTGTCCTTATTCGTGATACTGAAAAATATATTGGAAAATAGATAATGGATAGGATTTAAATTGAAGAACTGTGGAAAAAATACGTACGTTAATCGTCAATTTTTTACTTTTCTAGCAATTATTTGTCAATTCGATTGATTGACTGATAATGCGGTTCAAACAATCACATTTTATGGTCTATTTAAGATTGGCAGATGTTCTAATATTTACTAACGTGGGTGTATCATCTCTGCCCGATATGCACGATATTGGAGAATATTCTGCTTGTAATTCTAGATATATTGTGCGGAATAACATTGACACGAGATACAATATTTACGATAGATTTGACACGTGGCGAGGATAATAATAATTTGAATTAAATCGATATTCCTTTCTGCTATGTCAAATTTCAATCAAAAAAAGAAAGGGGAAAAAAAGTATTTCAAAATCAGTTTCGCCATACGAACCGTTTAAAATTGAAAGAGAAAATTATTTTCCTTCTCTCTATTCTAAAATTTGAATAACTTTCCACCACACAATTTCGAATAAAATTCGTCAAATTCAATTAAATCAAACTAAAAAAATATCCTACCATTTTCAATAAAAAAATTTATCTAACTCGTACGCTTTCTCTAATCATTTTCTCCTCCCCCTCTTTTTTTTTTTTTTTTGACAAAATTCAAACAACACTTTACCTATCTCCAAACTCGATAAAAATCCTCCAAAAATAACGCGACAACTTTTACAATGAAAAGAAGAATTAAATTTATCTTTAACCACAAATCCACTGATAACGAACGAGCGTTATCCTTCCTTACATCGGTATTCAATATGACGAGTGCATGAATGCAAATAAACACAATTCGAACGCCTCCACAATGAAAACTCTCTTGGAAGGCCAACAATGGCTCGTTTGGAATGGATACGTTTCACAAGTTTTCACAAAAGGGAAGAGCTTTTGTAAGAAGATCGTCTCGAAGATTCGGTTCTCACCTCGCGTATATCTCCTTTCCCTACTTTTCCCTCCTCTAATTCGTAGAGAGGAGGTAAAAGGCAACGTTTCGGGATGCAGAGATGCTAGATGTTCCCTTTTTCCTTCTCTCTCTCTCTCTCTCTCTCTCTCTCTCTCTCTCTCTCTGCCAAGCTTTGTGTCAAGCACCTCCTTCATCGTGAAGAGGATTCTGGCTAAGGGCCAGAACATTGCTCTCCTATTGGATTAATATGTACTTTGCTTGTATCGATACATGGCTCGTTGCTCCTTGTGTTGCTTTTCTTCGATATTCGATCATATTAGAATGAATTAATTTTTAATTCGGATGTAGCCTTACGATTGTAATCGAGTGCAATTGAATAACTGTAAATATAATTAACAGAAATGATTATGATAACATTCTTAAATGTTAGTTGAATTGATCTACAAGATATTACAATTATCGTGATAAAGAATATAAATTACAAAAAAACAAAAAGTATGGAATTTTTCTTTGACGCGAGACAAAATAGAGAGAATATTATTATTAATGTTAATATTAAATTATAATCATCAGAGATAAACGATTTATCTCAACATTATTTTTAATAATGTATAATAAATTTCGTTTAAAATTGACCTAAATGTGCATATATATTTTAGGTCATTCCGACTCGCCTCACTTACAAAATTCACCGCCTTTGGTTGGCCTGTCGCGTCAGCTGCAAATATATCCGCGCTATTTAAGGAAAGGCTTTCGTGTTAACCCTTTCGAATCGCAGTTTCCCTTTCAACTTAATATTAATGACACGAATAATACGAATCAAGTAAGAAACAAATCTAATTCTCGAAAATATTTAATTCCAAAAAATCCCCTCGATTTAATCAATGAACAAACTAATTGAATCTCATATCGAATATCTTAAATAATTTCACATCCTCGATTTCAAACATTGTATACAAAATTCCAAGATGTTAGAATTTTTTCGAATTGAAGTTTTCCTTTCAACTTAATATTAATAACACATAATACGAATCAAATAAGAAATAAATCTAATTCTAAAATCGAAATGAGAATATTTAATTCCAAAAAATCATCTCGATTTAATCAATGAACAAACTAATCGAATACCTTAAATAATTTCACATCCTCAATTTCAAGCACTGTATACAAAATTCCAGGGTGCTGGAATTTTTTCGAATTGCAGTTTTCCATTCAACTTAATATTAATAACACATAATACGAATCAAATAAGAAACAAATGTAATTTTAAAATCGAAACGAAAATATTTAATTCCAAAAAATCCCCTCAATTTAATCAATAAACAAATTAATTGAACCTCAGATCGAATACCTTAAATAATTTCACATCCTCGATTTCAAGCACTGAACAACTATATAAAACTATACAAACTATACAAAATTCCAGGATGCTGGAACCCTTTCGAATTGCTAAAAAATCTAATTCTAAAATCGAAATGAGAATATTTAATTCCAAAAAATCCCCTCAATTTAATCAATGAACAAATTAATCGAACCTCAGATCGAATACCTTAAATAATTTCACATACTCAACTCCTTCGAGCACTGTATACAAAATTCCAGGATACTGGAACGAATAAAACTCGAGACTGAGGCGAGAGTGGCAATGGAGTACCGTATCTAATTTCTCGTGATAATAACAAGAGTCTTTACGCGGGAATCAGCGAATTCCCGCGTATCCGAGCAAGCTGCGCCACGGTTAATCCCGGTGGACGGTTGGCCACGGTTCAAACGCGTTGCTGGATCAGCGATACCGGCGTGGAACCGTGGCCAAAATTTCCCCCTTCCCCCGAATCGACGCGATACGTCACGCCAAAGGTAATCCCCCCTCCCCCGGTCCGTGCGTCGCTTCGAATTTTCTCAAAGCCAACGAGTTTTTTCCCTCCCGTTTTTATATGTAATCCAGAGAGAGAGA